TCTGCCTCCTGAAGACTGGGATCAAATGTATGCACCACTACAACAGATGGGAATTGTTACCTTTTTAGAGTAACTATAGAAAAAACAATTACAGATTTAATAAAAGATTTCTAGGTGTGGTGAATCTTTGTTTGCAGAGGCCTGAAAATGGTGCTCATGTGTGTTTCTGTTTTGTTGTGATTTCATGAATGTATATAAATAGAATTCTATTTTGAAAGCAGTTGATAAAGACTTAAGCGTTTATGGTGACAGGAGAATAAGAACTTTAGTGTTAGGCAATTACTGTGGCTGTACTGACAAGTAGCTACAAACATAAAGGGATTATTGAAGCAGAGACCTACAGGTCTGTGTGAGGGAAAATAAATTTCTTCATGCCATGGATTTTGAATTCATTATGCAATAACTTTCACATGCACTTTAAATTATGATAACTTTGCTACTTTGACTCATATTCGATTTCCAGCACACACATGGCAACTAACAACCATCTGTAACTCCAGTTTCAGAGGAATACATCAACTTCTTCTGACCTCCTCAGACACTGAACTACATGGGTGCACTTACATACATGTAGTCAATACATTCATACACATAACATAAAAATAATAAAATATTTTTTAATTGTTAATGATTAATTCATCCTCATTCTAGAATGTCTAATGTCAAGAGTTGGAGTTCTATAACACTGCATTTTTAATATCAAATAAACAAAAAAATCAATGTATATATGCAAATAAATGAGACATTTATGTTAATTGGCTATTCATAATGATATATCAAAAGTCCAAATATAAAATAATACCAGGAATTGACAGAATTGGTGATGCAATTAAATATTCATTTCTGCAAGCCTATCTACTACTTAAAAACTCCTAATGTAGAAAGGAGGATATCTTAGACTCTTATTTATAAACTATCAGTAGTTACCAATTATTTAATTTCTTCATTACAAAGAAAGTTTCAAACAGTGTACTGAATAGGTCAAAAAGTTAAGAATTTGACTAAATTTATGAGAGGAAAAGAGGATTAGTAATAGCAATTTATTCCTCTACTGACACGGCTCCTTTTTATCCTTTCTCTTTTCTTTGTAAGTTACTGGACTTTAACATCGACTTCTCCAGCTAAGTCATTAAAGTTTATGAGGGTCAAACGGAAATATTATATATCATTGAGCTCTGCCTACTAAGGCTTAGAATGTTCTGTTCTCATTTTGTAAATGATAGGAAGTAATTAATTATAAATGCCATCATCATATAATTGCAATGGGGAATTATCCAGAATCTCTGTGTATTTTCAAATGGCTTCTTAAATCAGAGTCAAAATTTCTTTTGGCCAAACAACAAAGTTGGTTTTATACCTTTAGTTGGAATTTGGATCAAATACATCCACAAATGAAGGCTAATATGTTGCCCATGTTACACTTCTGCAAATATGCATATACTAGTGAAAGTAAAGGATTTGCAAGAAGAAGCCTACATGCCTAATTAGCTAATTATAACTCCTTAATGCCTGACATTCAACATTCATCATGGAACTGCAGATCAGGCAACTTTAAAAATAAAACCTATGACTTTTATTTATTTGATTTTACTTTGCCTTCTATGTAGTCAAGGATCAAGAGTTGTCTATCAGGGGGCTGGAAAGATGGCTCAGTACTTAAGAGCACTGGCTACTCTTGCAAAGGACCCATGTTCAGGGCTCAGTTCCCAGCACCCACATGGTGGCTAACAACTGTTCATAACTCCAGTTCCATGGGATCTGACACCCTCTTCTGACCTCCTCTTCTGACCGCCATGGGCATTGCACAACACAGGTGCACTTATATACATTCAGGCAATACACTCACATACATAAAACAAAAATAATTTTAGAATAATAGTTGTCTATCAGGACATATTTACAGTGAAATTTCCTTGACAGGAGTCACAGACCATTATATGTCTCCATCAGTCTGTATAGAAATCGTTGGTCCACTACTCTCTAAGTAATTTATATATGTGTGACTAGCAAGTGTAAGGCCCTTCAGTTTGATTCTCTAGCTTCAAAATATTCCTAATCACAAACTTCCCATCTTTGATACTCTCGGAGGAGAATAAAGTTCATCTCCAAATCTCAGGTTCCTCTTCAGTCTTCTCCTTATTCTTTGTACTGGAAAGCTTCAGATATCAACTTGACATATCTGTGTAGAAGGAACCTGAGCTGAGGAATTTCCTCCATTGCACTGGCCTGTGGCCATGTCTATGGGGGCATTTTCTTGATGAGTGATTTTGGAGGGCACAGCCCACTGTGGGCAGGTAGTCCTGGATTATATAAGAAGACAGGTTGAGACACAAGCCAGTAAGCAGTGTTCCTTCATAGTCTCTGCTTCAGCCCCTGCCTCCAGGCTGCTGTCCTGACTTCCCCCAGTTATGAACTTTGACCTAGGGGAGGTGTTAGACAAAATATATTCTTTCCTCCCCAAGTTGGTTTTGCTCAGTATTTTCATCACAGCAGTAAAAAGGAACTTGGACACTGCTCATAAACGTTCTCCTTCCATTATCACGTTATCCTCCCTGTACTTTCTTTAAGCATTTTGGATGGTTTCAACCATCAGACTGTCATCATGATTCACTCATTCCTTCTAGTAGACTCTGGCCTCAGTTAACCAACATTCTCCACTAAGCAATTTTTACTTTCAACTGAACTCCGTTTAAAATATTTTTGTGGGTGAACAGCAAATGACTGCCTAATTTTCTAAACTCAGCGGCTTTTTGAAGCTTGTGCCATTTGCCACAGTTCACACACTGTCGTAGAATACTAATCTTCTTAGACATTGCTAACATCTTAGTTCTTCTCATAAATATGTATTCAAACCTTCTGTGTGCTACTGCTCATTAATTTATTTTCACATATTCTTATTTATTAGCCTAAATCTCATAGAAATCAATGTTCTTTCCTGAGTAGTTTAGTAACACCATCCAAAAATTAAAAAGAAAATTGATTTAACTAGAGAAGAAGTTGTGTCTGCAAAAATTTCTTTCTAAATTTAGGGTAGAAAATTAGTTTAATTTTGAAATATAGGAAAGAAATTGCTATAATAGATAATTTCCCAAAAATATAACCTTGACTATGTCGCTGTGGATATAACTAAGGAAGGTTATTGCTTTCCCTTTATTTCCATGTCTTCCAAATGCTGTGGTCTTCCTCTAAAGCCCACGTATAAGCGAGTCCACCCGACTGATGCTGTGTATGAGACTCACAATCCCCTTACCATTTTTGTGAACCTGAGGACTACATCTTAATAAATCTCTCCTCAAAGAACTTAGTCCTCATCCTCATCTGTTTACAGCTAAGCCTCTTTGCCCACCACCACTGCATCATCCTCAGAACCAACGCTATTCCTCTATCTTGATCTCAACTTGATTTTTTTTTTCTTTATGCATCAATTCTAGCCTAGCTTTCCCACACTATCTGTAGACATTCAGATCCCAAAAGCTTTTAAAATGGCATTTGAGTCTCCTTCTTTTTATCTAACTCAACCACTGAGCAGATTATTTAGCCTCTTAGCTCTCAGCCATCACAATCCCTGAGTAGGTTTAGCAATTCATTTCACCTTGCCAATAATCTTGCTATTGGTTTTTTGTTTGGTTGGTTTTTGTCTGTTTACTTGGCTGGGTTTTCTGTTATTGTTGCTTGTGGGGGAGGAGGGTTTGGTTGTTTGTTTTTTAAACAGAGCCCCATGAAACCCTCCAACATGCTAAGTAGCTGAAGCTGGCCTTGAATTCCTGATTCTCCTGTCTCCATCTCCCAAGTCTAGAATTACAGTGAGCAACCATGCCCAGCTTTGTTGTTGGCTGTCTTTGCATACTGTAGCCGCTGCATTAACTGAACACATGGCCTCCACCATAATGACTTTTTGACTTGTGCTGACTCATATTCTTCAGAGAGAATTTCTGGAGAACCATCATGGCTCTTATGCGCCACCATCTTCCCATAGCATGTTGTCATGCAAGGCATTCATACGCTAGCCAAATGCAGTCATCTGCCATCCCTCTACCTCACATATACATGCTTTCCTCTACTCATTCACTGACTCGTCAGTCCCAATTTCTTCTCAGTTGGCTTATTAAAAACCACTGCTTGAAGGACACTGCCTATCAGTCAAGTATTTCCTTTTATTCTAGGAGCTGACCTTTTTCTTTGTACCCCCATCACTTTTTATTTAGAGCTCTCAAAAAAGCACTTCTTACAGGGCTGGAAAAATGGCTGAGTGGTTAAGAGCACTGTCTGCTCTTGCAAAGGACCTGGGTTCGGTTCCCAGCACCTACATGGTGGCTAACATGCATCTGTAACTCCAATTCCAAAAAATCCAACACTCTCTTCTGACCTTCACGGGCATGGCATGACATGGGTGCACTTATATACTTCAAGGCAATACACTCATACACATAAAATAAAATAAAAATAAAAGTTTTTTTTTTTAAAAAAAAAAGGATTCCTGCCTTCTGCTTTGTTATAATCATCTATATAACTTTGTAGTTCCACCCCTTTTCTATATTATAAATTCATTGAAAAAAAAAGCCATGATGTATAGAGCAATTCAACAAGTAAGAGTACTCAACAAATACTTGTTACATTGTGATAACCAAACAGAGCTTCACCAGTAATTAAGACAATTTATTAAAATAATCCCTAAAAGACACAGTTTGCTTTATAAGTGCTTTTTTGCACAGATTAAGAAAAGTGATTGAGAACAATAAAAATGGAGAGCATTCCACAGCCTCAGTGTACGCATGACTACGGTGGGCAGTGAACTCACAGAATTAGCGGGGTACTTCCAAGCCACCAAGGAAAATCTTACCATATTACCATAGCTTTTCATCACATACTGGAGAGGCTCCAAATAATTAAAGTGGTTTAAAAGAGCCCACCTTATCCCCAAGTATGAATTATAAAAAGAAGGAAACTTAGTAAATGCTAGCAGTGTGTTCTACAGCAGAAAACTAATTAGAATAACTTACCTTATAACTGAGATAACCAAGGAGTATTGTTTCAAATAGACTTATCAGTGCCACTGAGACCTAGAATACAAATTTTATCCTAATGAGAAAATGGAAGAAGATTAAAATATGTGTTCATAATTCAAGTATTAATTTTATATAAGTATGTGGACATGTCTGTATGTACCT